TATCTTCACTCTATCACAAAGCGGCTATCTAATTTTATCCTGTTGTGTTGTCTTGGGTGCCGCGATATGAGCGCATAATGAATGCCCCATACATATTCATTTTTGTGCCAGTTTCTGGCATACAGCTGCTATATATTGCTAATTCCTTTCTACACTGGAAATGTTAATATCATAAACTTGGAGTATGCTGAATAATCCAACTTTCGACGATTCGCATTCTGCCTCCCTTATAACCACGGGGAAGAGAATTTACCAAAATAAACCAAACCACGCCAAATTCAGGTTTAACAAGCGGCATCGATTTTTTGATTCATGATATTCTTTCTTTGAATGTATTATAGTATTAGAATTCAAGTCAATAACTTGATCGCCATTCTCAATTTTATTTCGGGACCTACCCGGGAGCAGAACCTTCTCAATTGAGGCTTCGCAACAGATATCAGGAAACCAAAGAGAGAATATCACGTCATCTCATATGCAGTTTTTACTTAAAAGCTCTGAAATGTCTTATTTTAATAAATGTCTTTTTTATTCTATGCGACGCCGCAATTCAAGTCGAGCTCGATAAGTCGTGGCGATAGTTGCGTTAACGTGGAATACAATATGCAGCAGTAATAAATACCATCCTCTAGAAACTTTAGTCCTTTGCTACTAATAACAGGAAATATTAATGATATTGCATAAGACTATCTGTGACATGAAAATGAAGAAAATTTGATTTTACTTCGGAGATATGGATTTTATTTCAGTGGAGTAAGGTTAGTAATGCCAGCGGACTTGGAGGCAAATCGGATTAATATATCCATTAATAGCCTGAGTCGCTTAAATAAATCTAGGGTTTTTACTAATATTTTATATTAATATAAAAATTATTCATAAATATATAGTTCTATTATTAGACTTTGTTCTGGTCTCCATTCTGTTAATGTTATATATTACTTTATTACTGCCTATTTATAGTAAGTAGGCTGTAGTAGACTTAATAGATAATTAAGAATGTTTATTATTAGCCTAATTATATATTAAATTAAATAAGGCTTTTAAGTTTTATATTACACTGTTTTATTAGATAAATTATATATATTTATTTTTATTTATAAGTATTATTATAGCTATATTCCTAGTGGTAGGAAAATATATTATTTAATTAATACCTTGATTATTAATATAATAAGCTTTAAATGGCGTCTAGCTAAATAACACTAAAAGATACTTATAATATTTAATACAGGGAAACTAGCCAGCCCTAGAAACTAGCTACCTACCCTTTAACCTAACCTCCTAAGTAATAATATCTTAAAGAACTTATATTTCTATTAATTTTAGTTAATTAAACTTATAAAATATATTAATTAATTTAAAATAATAAAGTCTATTAAAAAAAATATTAATACTATTTTTTAAATAGTTTTAAAAAAGGTTTTTATAAATAAAATTATAATAGCTTATAGTATTAGATATTTAATAGTTTAAAAAAAGATTAAAGATATTATAATATTAATATAAGCTAATAAACTTAAATAAAAGCTCTTAGCTATTTAAGTAAAAAAAAGAAAATTATAATTTAAGTTAATTTAATATATCTTATATTATATTAATAGGTTTAAGACTTTATAACTTAGATAATTATATATAATAGGTTTTTAGAAGGTATAAAAATTATTAATTATAATTTTTTATAGAAAAAATAAAAAAACTAAAAACTTTATTAAGTAAATTTATAAATTTTAAGTATTATAATAAAGTTTTTATTAAACTTATTAAGGGTTTTTTAATATTAGTAATTTAAATTATTAAAGAAAAGAATAAATATACTAATAATATATTTATATTTTTCTTTTAAATATACTTTTATTATAATTTTTAATTATTAAGTATTATAATTATTAAACTATTAAATAATATATATAAGAAATTACTTTTAGATTTTATTTTTATTATAAATATAAATTATATTAATATAATTACCCTTTTATATACTTTTAATAAAATATAAAAAAGAATTATTATAACGTGGTTGACAAGCTTATAACCCAGATAAGTATATAACCCAGTATACTATGCACCTAGAAATAGCCTACCCTATAATATATAAAGTTATAAATAAATTAGCTAAAATTCTAATAAAAATATTTCTTATAATAGTATAATTAGCTTTATGAAATAACATTTTTAAAAGACTTTTAGCTGTTTTATTTTATATAGAAAACCTTATAATACAGTGTATTTTACAGTGTAAATAGGTTTTAAAGTTTAGAGCTATATAGAACTTTTTTTAAATTCTAAGAAAAATAATTTAACTTATTTTAAGACTTATATATAAGCTATTAAAATTATAGGTATTTTAGATTTAATTTGAATTTTTAAAGAATTCTTTAAAAACTGGATTTAAGGTGGAAATAAAACTGGGACACATACTTGTCTGGGACACATGCTTATTATACACGTTAACTTTAAATATATTAGTTAGTTAAAAAGTAATTAAATTATAATTTATTAGTTTAATATAAGTCTTAATAAACTTAATAATTATTTAAACTTCTAATATATTAGTTTTTATTATTATACTTATTTTCCTTCTATAAGGAAAGAATTCTTATTTTTTAATAATATCTTAACTATTTATATAGTTTTACTAAGCCTTCTAAGTTATCTTAAGTATTATCTTTAAAGATTATATTATTAGGCTTTTTTTTTAAAAAAGATTAATAGTTAATTAAATAATTATAATTTTAATATTAAATACTAAAAAAAAAAGAAATTATAATACTATAATTAAAAGAAAAGTTATATATAATAAAATTATTAGGTTTATAAAGATTTTAGTAATATTTAAAGCTTATAAATAAATCTAAAAAGTATTATAATTAGAAAGATATATAATATTATATTAAAAAATAAAACTTAATACTTTTTATTATAACAGTTAGGGTTTCCAAACAGGTAAACTAGTCCATACTAGGTTTATATTTACAGATAACATAGGGCATAATACTAAGTAATATAAAGTATTATATCTCTTAATAATTAAGTAATATATATTAGGCTTATTAATATAAAAATGCTTTATTAATAGCTAGTAAGCTAAGTTCTATTTACTGCTAAATAAATATGTATATATACTAAGTAATATATAAGTTAAACGTAGTTGGTTTAACTCTATCTATCTTCCTTTATTATATAAGTCGAATGGTGTATATTTAACTTGCTGTAGGGTAAGTGGATGTTTACTGGAGGAAAAAGTGGGGGTACCTATCTCACGTGCGTTAAAATGTATTGGGTTATAATATTTATCTTTAAGTTTATTTATATATTTATAAATATATATTTTATTTAATATATAATATTTTTTTTTCCCTTACCATTAGCCTTATACAAGGCCATTATTACAGAAGTTAAAATTATATAAGGTTTATCTGCCTTAATGGCATAATTGCTGCCTTAACTAAGCAGTATTAATACCAGCTATAGGTTTACCTCTTAGCAGCTAGGTTAACCTTCTTTATTTATCTCAATCAAAGGACGCGCCTGGTTAATATGTAATATATAATAATATATTTTTAATTAAGCTATAATTATAATATTATTTTTAGTATTTTAAAAAGGGTGGCCGGTTTCTGGGGGTGGCCAATTTCCCCGTATCTGACGTTAGAGCCCGGTTTAAACTTCATGACTTCGATCAGTGGGTCAGAACCCTCACTCGACACTGTTTAACGGATGCATTTTGGTATTCGAATAATAAGCAGATATATCTTAACGTGATGTTCTTCGAATTCGCTACAACTCAACTTCCATCCCAATCGCTTATGCTCATACGCATCGTACTAGGGCTAGAAGAAAACTCAAGACCCTTAATAGCGTCGGAATGTTCGAAACTGAGAAGTGCTGTACATGTCTCGGATATACGGTGGGAACAGTGGAGAAAAGATCTCCTCGTTCAAACGGCGTTTATCCTTAACATAAATCAGGGACATAAATATCGCCAACGTCTTGATAGTGGCCATAGAGACTCGTCTATATCCACTCTGTTATATCTATCTGCTTCACGGAGACAGGGCGGTCATTGATATGTCCAATAGTGCCATTGCTTTTGGCTGTCAAGACTAAGATCTTGCCCACGAGATACTGCTGTCAGGCCTCATGACCAAGGTTGAACTAAGGTTGCTCTGGGTGCCGTGCAATGGATGTATGATATCGCCTGGGACTTATTGCCCTTGAGCAACAGAGCTTACAGTGCTGACCCTAGAGATATAGCACTGGCGGCCAAAACTTTCGGACCAAACGGACCACGCAAGGCTAGCAGCAGCGATGCCACCAAGCGAGAATACCAAGCAAGTACTGGCGCAGACGTGGATGCTCCGTTAGGGGATCGCACTTACAAGGAACAACACAGACCAGCATTAACGGCATGCTTCTAGGAATAGATGCGCCAACAGCCTCGGCTATCCGAGAATAACTTCCTGAATATAGCGTCCAACGCCGTAGGTATGGATATATTTATAACCACTGGGATAAGAGATAAGGCGCTGACTGTAACCTTATTATAATTAATTCCGGATAGTTAATTAGTTAAAATTCGTATTATAGATAGTAAAAAGATACAGTAAGCTCGCCAGAAGTGCTAAGTTAATAAGAATAATTAATATAACTGTAATAGAAAGAATAAAAATCGCTTCTATACTAGTAGTAATTATAAGTCAAATTTAACAACATTGGATTACCGCCATAGTATCATCTTTGACAATAAAGCAAGGGAGGACAAGATAGTCAGCAGGTTTGCCAATTATTACCCGCTTTCCTTTCTCCACGAGGACTTGGAGCGACTAGCTAAGTATGGTGGACCCTGTGCCCGACTTCCTACACCCAGGCATCGAGTTCCGCCATATACCCAACAAGCTCAACCTAGTTCCACAAAAAGTTTACATACAGTCGATAAAGCCATACTAGACGGGGTCGGCTGTCAGTCGGATTGTTAGCAGCATAAGGCTAGTTCAACATCATCAGTAGCTTGCTGCACCCCCAGTCGTAACACCATTCCCATATACTGTTTCTTGTGTATAAGTCCCATCTGACACATATTCCTGTGCGTTGTTATATGCTGTCTGCCATGCTTGGTTGGTAATGTTGTGGTTCTGCATAGCTTGTTCCCCACCTGCCGACATATTGTAAGAGTCAGGTTGTACAGTATTGTCAGACAAAGGTTGGGCGTTGTAGGAGGATGACTGTGGCTCGTAAGATGGAGCCTGGGCACTGTAATTAGGCCCCGTGGTGTTGGTTTTGTAATAGGAAGGTTGAGGGCTAAGGGAATTACTAAATTAGCGAGTTCTTAAGTAATTAGAAAGTAGAAGGTTGGGCTTACTCTGCACCAGTTTCAGGTTCATCCGATTGAGAAATAGGACATATAAAAAGCTTAAGTAAATCCATGATAAAAGACATAATAAATACTTGAAGTTGTAGTTGACTTTATTTTTATTATATAAATATTTAGTGCAATAGAGCAATTTGAAACTCTCTCGTGGTTTAGGACATGGTTTTATATTTTAAGCAGGCGATTCTGCAATAGAAAGCGCATGCTAACTATTATTCAATATCCATCAACTACCTCGAGATGCATATATTCAGCCGCACTACGCTATGGTCTTGAGTCTCGACCATGGACCTTTACTAAAACGAGTATAAATCTCGGCAAATCGGCATAATAAAGGAAAGAATAGCAGTTTTAACCTAGGGGTTTTAGGACCAATTATTCCGGCCTTAACTATGTAAATTGCTAAAAAGGCGTTATGGTGCTAATATTATGCAAGCCACTAGGGATAACTTCCCTGAATTGGGCTAATTCTAAGCCGACGCATGGACTAAGGGCGAGCTTGGAAATCTTACATAATAATATACCCGCTTAAAATGGCTATGTACCAATACAGCGGGATCTCTAATAGATTGCACCCTTATGCTCTGGTGTGCAGTATACCTAGTTAATGCAATTAACTTCCGTATATAATCGGAGAAGTAGTGTTTTATTCAGCCTAGTGTCAGCCATAAAAGCCCCTCAGCACAAGCTAACTACGGCAGCTGACCGCGTAGCGATATAAGCACAGGGCCATTAGGCATTGAGTGGAAGTTGTGACAGACTGAAAAGTGCAGGTTGGCAACCCATTGTCTTAGTTATAAGGTGATATGTTTACCTCGCCTGCATGAAGTCATCATAAGGTAGACAGATGCCTCCAAAAAGACAGCTAAAACCGCCACTGGCTCGGGTAACCGGAAGGTTATCTCAGTCAGCAGGTATAGTGGATAATAGCCCAGTTTAAACCACTGCTTTTTCACTGATTTCGTTTAATCTGTTCTCGTGAACAAGGTCGATTGGTCACGTGCCCCACCACCAGGTGCATTCAATTGATGGAGGTCGATTTGACTTTCGCCCACTAACTTACACAAACGTCAACCCAATTCCTTCAAATTTCTGAACCCCGCCTTTAACCCGCGTTCATCCCAGAACGCTGTGCATAGACTCCCTCTTTGTTCTTATGGTCTCAGACTATGACCAGCCTAGCCTTTACTTCTATATAAGAGGGAGGATACAGAGTACCTATTCGGCCTTGATAATCACGTTCTCGAGCTACTCTTTATACCAGGCTGAATTACCTGTAAATATAGTAAGAAAAGCTGCCTCTTCTGCCTTAAGAGATTAGCCTTATCATAGGGCTTTTTCTACCTTCTTTAATCTAAATAGCCTCTAGCTAGCTAGGCTAGAGATATTATATTACAGAGGGAAAGGCAGGTCGCAGAGGCCATAGTCACAGGGGAAGGGGAATAAAATGCCGCCTATTTTAGCAGGGAAATTATTCCTTAATCCAGGCCTAATTAGCTACTACCATGGTTATATCCCCTAGTCAGCTATAGTCAATAGTCAATTTAGTATCACAAAAAGCCTTAAACTAGGCCTTTTCATCATTTTCAACTAATTACAACGCTATAAGAGCATTAGGTTATTAAAAAACTGTTTTCGCCACCTAAAAACTAAACCCCCCCCGGCTCGAGCCAACGGGTACAGCTCTTAATAGTAGATTTAATATATATTAACATTACTAGATTCTTAACTTACTAAATAGTCTTTCCCCTTCGCTGCATTCTCAATTTGCACTTTAACCTCACAATGCTAATAGACCTCTAAGGGAGCCCATGCTCCTGGCTGAGCTCAATTCGACTATCAGCAAGGATAAGGCTTGGCCGGGGAGGAACGTTGCCAAAGAGGTGCGAATCCCTATGTCCCAGCTGTGGGTTAGAATCGCCTGCGCTCGAGGTGTTGATATGCATGACGCGACGGAAGAAGGGCCAGGTCAAGGGAAGGTTTGCGACAATGAGGGAGGTTGAGGATTCGCGGATATACCAAAAGGTCCAATTAGGCCCGTAGGGGTCTGTGAAAGAGCAGTATTTATTTAGAAATGCGGAGACTATCTAAAGTTATATCGTTCAGTGTTAGCAACATCATATAGGCGGTATTCCCCTGCGTCGGTCGATTGCGACATGAGTTAAAAGATGAACACATACCGTGAAGATGCCCACAGCATAAATACAGCATAACGTTACTTTTATCCTAGTGGTAGTGTTGGACCAGAGGAAAAGTGGTATAGGAAGGAGAATGATCATAATGTCTGAGGACAAGTTGAAGGTTGCATTGGTAATAAGATGGTTCCTTGATGTGGCGCATTGCTCTAGATAATTAACAAGACGCGAAGATATAAGCCATTGGGGTAATACCGTGCTCGGTGGGGACGGCCCAGTACTGGGAGAAAGGTCGACACCAGACCGCAAGATAGAAGGTCATCATAACGACAAACCCGACAAGGACGTACAATGCAACAGTTTTCACTACGCGATTGTAGCTCAAATTCGTCCTGAGACATATCAGAGGATAGTCGATTACATGGATAGATAGATGCAAGGTAACTTACGTCAGTCGGTTATATATCAGGAGCAAGCAGCACTTGACCAGCCAGATGACAGTGCATTGAAGCATCTCTGCAATCAAGGTAAGCTTAGATCCGAATCGGCGTCGGCTGATCTCGTCTGGTGTGAGAGTGATTCGTTGAGTCGGATCGATCAGATTATTGCCCATTCGGAAGCTGGCGTTTATGCAGGCTATCAAAACCGCGTCGCAAACCTCGACGACAAAAACAGATGTTAGAAGGGGCAAGCGAAAAAGAAACCCTTTGTTTGACTATACAAACAGAACTGACCATAGCGAGAATCATTAGGTAATCTTCCATCTGGTACTTCTTGACGGATCCTACCACCATCCGACGAGACAGCCTGAAAGTGCAATGTCAGCCAACATTCTAGATTCTTGTCCAGGAGACTGACAATCGGACAATGACGACGAGCCATGTAACGGCGTACCAAATCCACGATTCAATTACAAGGGGGATCATATCTACTGGACCGGGAGCATGATCTCGATAAGCCCTCCCACGCGAGCCGCGGCTTGGCTCGCCAAAACAGAACGTTGAGTAAATGCCAAGATGAGGAAGGAAAAATAGAGAAACGGTAAAGGGTGGACCTGTATGAGGGGAGTGCGGGGATAATCTCCCCTAATGAAGGTTCGTTCCAGCCAACTTATATGTTCGGCTAAAGTGGCAAGAAGCCGCAAGCTAGTGCAATAACAGTCTCGGTAGTTATTACAGTAAGAGTGGCCAACGACAATGCATAGATGAGACTCCACATGGCGCAAGCTAAACTAGCAACCATAATAACATTTAATCCGAAGTAGGACTAAACGTACACGATAAGCAAGCAGCATAAAAATCTTAAGCCTAATACGCATTGAATCCACCATTAAGAGACGTGACACTTCGACACCGCTCAGCATCACGCCCTACGCAATCTGCCAATAATAAACCTAGCACGGCTTAGTTTATCTACAGTTAGGAGCCAACCGTTACATTAGAAATATACCTTATATTAGGGTTTTTAAGATGCTATGAAAAATCTAATTCAATTATAAAATACGTTAAAACTATATAACATATTAATTAAGGTATAACTAGGCAATTTAAGGTTTTTAAAAGATGTTAAAAAAAATTATATAAGGTTAACATATATGATTTATTTTCACACTGTATTTTTAAATAAATATATTTTTATTAAATTAGTAAAAAGTATATTAAAAAAAGTAATAATAAAATCTTATATACTATATATAAATATTTATAGCTTAAAATTAATTAAGCATAATAATATACTTTAGTTATATAGGGTAGGGTACTTTTATACTATATAGTATAGTGGGACACTTACTTATCTAGGACACTTACTTATTAACTATATTATTTCTTTTATAAAATATAATTATAAGGAAAATTCTTATAAATCTAAGTTAAGAATAAGTTAAATTATTATTTATTCTTTTAAATCTAATAGTTTTTATAGTTTTCAGATCTAATTACTTTATAATTTAATACTATTTTTTTAGTTGCAAAGAGTATTATATTTAACCTTATATATCTCTATAATATATTAAATACCTAGCTTTTAGTTATTTTAAAGAGCCTAAAATATAAGGAGGATTCTAGCTTTATTTAAAGACTATTATATATTAGGTAGTTAAGAAGTATCTAATTAAATAGAAATATTATAAGTTAGGGATTTTTAGTCGGCATGCTTATCTAATCGGCATGTTTATTAAACACGTTATAGTAAAAATATAATAACTTATTATAGCCTTATGCTACTTAAAGAGACAATATTAGCCTGTATATAGCAAATGCTACTACATCTTGTGGTTAGGTATACGAGTTCCACCTTTATTACCCTGGGGGTTGTATCAGAGGCGCTCCAGGAAGATGTGGGGCGCGGGACCATAAGCGCTGCCGTTATTTCTGGGTCATTAGTCTATTATTCTCCGCCGGAACACTGGTCCCCGCCCCGGCCTTTTCACCTCGGTCGTCCTAAAGCCATGCCATATATGCGAGGTGAATCGGGGAGTGGGAAATAGGATCAAAGCATATGTGTTCAGTAGGACAAACCTCTAATGCTCGGATGTAATTGGTGATGTGCAGAAACGAGGAATGCCATTTGTTAACCTACTATGCGCCCGATTGACCTATTCTCAACAGAGAAGGTGGTCGAGCGATCGCTGTTCTAGAAACAAGAAAATCCGACTATGACTCACGCGGTGAGATCCCGCCTTGGCGTAGAGATCGGTGAGGGTGAAAACTCTTCCAGAAGATATATACTTTATAGACCTGTATTTATCCTCAGGAATTGATGTCAATAGCTTAGACTCGTAAGACAAACCGTTTTCTTATTTCTGCTGTGAAATGGCCACTCCCAACGCAATACTCACTCCCCATTCCCCCGCCCTCGCATCCGCAGCGACAAAAGAACTAAAGGACGACGCCCCCGATGCCATAGAACTAGGCGCCCCCGTGCAAAGGCGCGAAAACAAATCCATCTTCTCACGATGGCAGAAGCGATGGATCTCCCTCATAACCTCCTTCGCAGCCATGTTCTCGACCCTCAGCACCTTCGTCTACCTCCCCGCCCTCACCCCCATATCCCGCGACCTCAGCGTCTCCATCACGCTCATGAACCTCACTGTCACATCCTACCTAGTGGTCGCGGGCATCGCGCCCGCGTTCATAGGCGATATTGCAGACCAGAGCGGCCGCAAACCCGTCTACATCCTCATGTTCCTGTTCATGCTGGCGGCGAACCTGGGCATGGCGAATCTAACTGCGTGGAGCGTGCTGCTGGTGCTGAGGATGATACTGAGCGCGGGGGCTTCAGGTACGGTGAGCGTTGCGTATGGTGTTGTTGCGGATATTACGACTGCTGGGGAGAGGGGGTCGTTTATCGGGACGATCTTTTTGTTGTAAGTGGCGGCTAACAACCCACGATAGGGTTTGGACTAATGAGAACCCAGCACGACAATGGCGCCGAGTTTGGGGCCTGTATTGGGAGGTATACTTGCAGAGAAACTCGGCTGGCGCTGGATCTTTTGGTTCCTCTCCATCCTCACCGGAGGAACCCTCGTGATACTAGCCCTCCTTCTTCCCGAGACGCAGAGAAAGATTGTCGGAGATGGAAGTCTGCCAGCCAGAGGGATATACTGGAGTGTGGTATCCCCAAAGGCCTCAAGGTCAACTCGGCAGAGCCAAGGAGATGCCGAGCCTCGTGAAAAGAGAGGCTGCCGATTCCCCAACCCTCTTACCTGCCTCCCCGTGCTCATGGACAAGGGGTCTCTCTTCTCGATCCTGATCGGAGCCTTGCAGTATGTCAATGTGATGACGCTGCAGACGTCGCTTGCATCGCTGAGCATCGAGATATACAACCTGAACTACCTGCAGGCAGGCCTCATCTACATCCCCTGTGGAGTATGCTCAGCAGTGTCTGCAAAAGTCACAGGTAAACTTGAGTCGAGCACCCTAACCACAGTAGCTGATTGATAACAGGCAAGTATATCGACTGGAACTTTCGCCGAACCCGACACAGACTAGGCGTAGAAGATGCCCGCGGCGTGGGAGACATCGAGGGCTTCCCTCTTGAACATACTCGCCTCGAAGGAGCCTACCTCCTCACGATAATATGCACCCTAACAACAGTAGGCTACGGCCTGATCGTCGAGTTCAAAACAGTGAGATCCTCATCCTCTTATAGCCCTTCTAGAACTCACACTGCCAAGCATATATCATCGATGCTAGCGATGCAAGCCCTAGCAGGTCTCACAGCGGGAGCCTTATTCACGGTACTTTTCCCCCTACCTAGTCGATCCTTTTACCCGCTAATCTCGTCCCGCAGATGACAGCCACCCTCATCACAGACTACAACACACACCGCTCTGCAACAGCCCAAGCGGCGTCCAACCTCATCCGCTGCGTGGGCGCGGGAGCAGGCACAGCGTCGTTCGAACCCCTCATCCGCGCGATCGGTTCTGGTTGGGCGTTCGCGATCTACGCCATCCTGGTCCTGCTCCAGGTGCCGTTGATCTGGGGATTGAAGAGGAACGGCATGGCCTGGAGGAGCAGGAACAAGTGAGACGGACGACTCAGATAAGAGGGGGAAGCCCACTAATACGTACTTCGAAACGTGGTCTCCGGGGGAGGCTGGACAGGGATGTTGCTGATGGCCTGCAATATCCACTTTAATAAATGAGCATAACAGCCTCCCCCGCAAAAAGGGGCGTGACAGGTCTTGTCCTCAGCAAGCACGAATAATGAAAAATATTATATATATTAGCTAATAGTAAATTAATACTTCTATATCTAGGTTAATATATAAAATAAGATAATTAAGAATATTAAATTTAACTTAGCTTAACTAGGAGTATAAAGTAAATTAGTATTATTTAGTAATAAAGAAATAGGGGAATAATAATAGACCCGCGAACCGCTAGAGCGTGCACGGATCAGAATATGTGCATTGCGTCGCAATGTTCGCAGCAATCATTGTAGTGGGGCTCGATGTTCTATTGTGCCGATTCCGGCGGGGGCTGACTGTCGATGTCGAACTAGAGGTGATCTGAAAGCTCATAATCTCCTCTCTTCTCCCCTGAACATCGTTCCCAGACGCTCAAGTTTGGCCGCAAGCTTTGGATGGGCAACAATTCCCTTCCAATGTGACAATGCCCAACATGGATCCAGCCCATCGTCAAGGAGAAATTGAGGCACAATGCCAGGTATATCAACCATTGAGCCCTCGGCAGACAAGAACGCTTCGAGTTCATCCTTCGGCCGACTCCGATGTCGAGATTGAATGCGACCTGTTCACGGTAGACCTCAAGAAGAAATCAGGCGCAACAGTTGCGGGAAGCTCCAAGAAGGCCGGGTACGAGGCATTATCGTACACTTGGGGGAATCCTGAGCCAACCAAGAGAATCTTGGTAAATGGGCTACCGTTCTGGATCTCTGCAAATCTCTTCGCGGCGTTGAGACAGCTTCGGCTCTCGGAACGACCCCGAGTGTTGTGGACAGATGCTATCTGCATCAATCAAAACGACCTAATTGAGAAAGCAGGCCAGGTGGGGATGATGTTCAGCATCTATCTCAAGGCGTATAGGGTCGTTGTCTGGCTGGGTCAAGCGACTAATGATGACGAATATCTCTTCAGTCTGCTCAAGACCTACGGCAGGGAGGGTATGGGTGGCATTCGTGGAGAGGTCGAGGGCCCAAGAGCACGCAGAGCAGCCACCAAGCTCATCGAGACCAAGCCATGGTTCCAGCGGACTTGGACCCGACAAGAGGTACATGCGGCTCACAAAGTCCACGTGGCCCGTGGAAGCCAGGAATGTTCTTTCGAAGACTTTCAGTTTGTTATGGATCGCCTCCTCCCAGACATGGATGAGATTCGGGATACGTTCAGACCCCATCGTGACCCTCGGGAACGAGCCTTGAGCGCGAGGAGAGCATACGTCTTCTTCAAACAGCATTGCGAGAACGACATGTACACTGAGGAAGGCGGATTTCATCAAGCCTGGTTCAGGATGATTATGCGAAGCAGTCTATATGAAGCGACTTTACCACAGGACAAGGTCTTTGCTGTCCTGGGAATCATTGGAGAGATGACCAAGGAGGCCTACGACGTTACAGAAGGGTTCCCGGAGATTGATTACTCAAAATCGGTTTCGACAGTATTCGAAAGCTTCCAGAAGCACACAATCAACATCAGCCAGACTCTTGCCAGTCTCCAGATCTTTTACGACAGAGACGCCGTCGGACGGGACTTGCCATCCTGGGCTATCGATCTGCGCCATAACGTTACCCGCTTGATGCTTCGATTTGGCGTATTCCACTTTGACATGCCCTATACGGCGCCTCCAGTGCAGGCATATGACGAATATGGGCTTTTGCGTCTCGAGGGAGCACGGATTGGAATTATCACCTCAACAGAGAGTCCTTGGAAAGGCGGAATGCACCGAGAGTTCAACTCCGAGATTTTGGGATCTTACTCTTCAGGGGTAGGACTTGAGAGCTGCTATTCGAGCCACGACTGGTGGATGCCCGATAATCAGGGCAACAAAGGCATCGAAGAGGTATACAAGATTCTTGAGATGCGCTGCTCGTACAATTGGGCAGCCTTAGAACCCAGGAACAACGATGTCATCGAAGAGTACAATCTAGCTAAACATCACTGCCTAGTATTTGTGTCGCATCTGGTTCGAGAGGGAGATATCATGATTCATCCGTCTGGTGCCGAGATGCCTTTCATCTTGCGGCCGGATACAGAAGCAGGACGCTTCAGCTTTCTAGGTCCAGCTATCATCGCGATGGGAGTGGTGAGGAAACTAAAGGACAGGGATATGTTCACATATGCTTTTCCTCGCCGTGGAAGTGGCTGCGATGTTGGCTCGCCTGAGAGCTTTGTGCTCATCTAAGGCGAACTTTGGTCTACGTTAACAAGTAGCAACAGAGCATCGCTTGACTATTATAGGTAGTCGATTGAAGAAGTTTCGATACATGTGGCTAGTTTAAGAAGCGATAAATTCTACTGGTTCTCGCAAGTTTTCTCGACGGGCGAATTAAGGTCCGACTTATGGTTCTGGTTCCCCTCCATGACCTAATCTCTTTACTACTTTCAATCGACGCCTACGCTTCTTTTCATTATTTAAGCCCAACCCTGGACGGCGACATATGCATCGTTCAGTGAATCATGCCTACCGAGAATGATACCGTGAGAAAATATGTCCAATACCTCGGCCTTTTCAACGCCATTACCAGCCTCAAAAAGGCGGTGAACGTAACCTCCATCAGTGGTCTGACGTGGAAATACAGGACTGCTGCGGAAAGACTTCACTCCTCCACGCGGCTTTGTCTGGGAGCTTTCACCAAATGGTATGCGCTGGCCGGGGCCACAAAGTCTCATAAGATTGATGGCTGACTGAAACTTCGAGACCGTACCCTTCGAACAAGTGCCCGAGACCTACGAGTGTTATGTAGCCGGCAACGATGGTCTAAGTACAATAGTGCGGCTAAACCTGTAGGATACGGCCGAAGTCTGAATCAGACATGGCCATATGAATATTCAAATAAGGTCTTATATGAATATGCATAAATATATTCATATTCATATCCATATAATATATAAATATAATATATACTTGCGTATCCATATTCATATAATGTAGTAGGTCGTGATTGGCTTAAATTTAATCTAATCTCTGTTAGAGATAATAGCTACTAGTCACATCCGAGGAATGGCACGAGGGTGCGTTTACCGCCGCCCGTAGTCTCTAGAAGGAAGAGTACAATGACGATATCGAGATATAGCTCTCAAAGCAGTCATTGGCTATGTGGACCCTCTAAATAAACCCAAATCTCCCATAACCCTCCTCCTCTTATTCTTCAAAGCTAGTGTAGACAGTTAGCGTCAGAGTATATTGCTGAAAGTATACTCGGCAATTACCTTGGCTAGGAAGCAGCCTTGTAACTATAGCTACTATACTATGGCTTTAAGGGCACTTCTTGCCCTTCATCCTTCCGCCAGGACAGCAGATAGAACCGCCCAACTTGGAGCACGCTTTTCCATCGCCACCGCCACTCTGAACAGTACACTAGCCAGAGCTTACGTCAGCAACAAGTTTTGTTCCTTAACCGTTGGGTCTCTAGGCCAGGGTATTTATCACCTTTCCCTTGGTGCATCCATAGTTCTTGCCATTAACCTTGCAGGAGGTTCCGTTGCACTTGCCCCACTCGGTGGCTCTGCTTGTTAAGGCGTCGAGATCGCCCTCTGACGCCGGCGAGACCCCATGGGCGAGGACCGATGTGGCGGCTAGGATCGCGAAGAGGGACGCAGTGAACTTCATGGTAAAGTCTTGAATAGGATGGTCGATATAAGTAGGAGCAACTCTGGTGGCTTGGGATGAACTATGCCACTCGCTCTGGGATGTGAGAAGATAGCGAGAAGAAATGGGTAGATTATGAGGGCTCGAGGTGCTTTAAGTATACTGGCTCTAAGAATAACCACCCAGCCACTTAATAGCATGGTCTGACAGGTACCAATAATCTCGGCAGATAACTAGATCATCTGATGACGACGAAAAGAGTATTACCCGGCGATCTGCCTCATGCACTGTGCCGCTATGAGACAGAACAACACCCTGATACTGACAGGTCGGTGATTCTAGATTTCTCGGCATGCGGACGGATCCGTTACTCAATATAGGCATGACAAGGGTGCTTAGAGGAAAACATAGGTCTTCTTACTGGATCCTTTCTCCTTTTGCTTCCTCTTCCTCTCGAGCCACTTCCTTTTAGATCTCTTCCACCTGGGTGTCTTCTTTCTACGTCTGTTGGTTGGTCTCTTCTATATGCTATATTCAATTTTGGGTTTTCGCAAACGGGAATCTCTGGACTACCCTCGAGGGAAGCACGGAGTCCGCCTTTCTCTGCCGGCCGTTCCGGGACCCTAACAGGGGGCTTCTTAAGCAGAATCCAACCCAATGCAGGGCAACCGAAAGACAGGTCCCTGAGGACCCTACTCTTCGGGCGCGCGATAACTCGAATTAGGGAAGGTCCCTGTAGGTCTTCTGCATGTGGCAATGGCCGAATAAATTGAGCCCTCCATCCAATGGCCAAAGAGTATTTCGTTACCATATTTGCAGTTAAGCTCATTCAAAAGAGGCAGATCCGGAAGGTATCATTTTCACTGCAATCTTAAGTCACTTTTCATGTGCAAATTTACCTAATAAGCTTCGAGTACTGCGGGACATGGGTTTGTTGTCGCTAACATGCTTTTACGGACTGCGCATAACAGGCACAGCCGCGCAACGAAGGCGGCCTAGTGCGGCATTTTTGCGATTGGCTAAAAAGCTAGCAGGCAGGAGGAAAATGTAAAGGGGGGTAGTTAAATATGATCAGCGAGAGCATTGAGGGAATACCAAGTATCAATCCAGAATTGTTGACCCCATTTTTCCGTGGGCCGGAGCCTGAAGCGTAAGGTGGATAGAATTTGTAAGTGTCATCTTTCTCGAGATTTCACGTTAATGGAGACAAAAAACAAAACAAGGATGGAAGATTACATGTGATTTCATGCAGTTTTCGGCTCAGGTGGAGCAGCGCGACAACGAGCCTATAGCGGTGCGTTTAGCGAGTTGTTAATGATGAGTATCCCTGCTTCTGCTGGCTTTGGTCATTGCTTACTGTTGAAGTGCATGGTCAGGCCATAATTGACAAGTGCCAATACATTTTGAAAAGGCGACAGACGGACAGTTCACGACCAACAGCATACAGGAAATTTGTTATCTTGCAGAGTTGCCATGGCCTGGTATCCTCCCAACACAATCCTTCTCAATAATAGCTGTTTAGGTACATCCTCCTCCTTCACGGGACTTTCAAACGGGTTCCCCAATCTCAATCCCGAGACCTTCTCGACTCAGTACGCCTCGGTCTCTTTCTAGAAGTTATCTGAACAATCTTCAATTGCTTTTTTAGCTCTCATGCATAGTTAGGATTATTGCCTTTGATAAATCTATCTCTGGGGCACTGACCTCGATTTCATTGAGCCGCTGGGTCACCATGTCCGAACTCTTTGACAAATCTTTATAAATATCACCTATCTTAACGGTACCAAGCGCAAGACTTGAAAGACTGTCGAGGGTTGTGCTGCTGTTTTCATTCACATCTTTCCGGTCCTTGTCTCTCCGCCTAACATTATTCCAAGTGTCGTTGACAGCTTTGCAGGATTCCATGGCCAAATCCACCTCGGCTTTGTAGGGTTTATAGTTTCCCATAGGCACGAAGTCCTTCCTGGTAGCTACACTGGGCGGATCGAGGCCAGGTCGTCAATACGATGAGCTTCGGTAATCATAACAGAGGTATCCAAACAGGAATCAGTAACGCTCTTATAACCTTCTCTATAGGCCAGAAGAGGGACGAGTAGGCAATTACTAGACAGCTGAAGGCGGGCACGCATACAAACATATCACTGATCAACCATAGGTGCCAAACGCATAAAGAGTGAGTGAGTCTTTAGCAATGGCTTTGTCCTTGAGATCACGGTATCTCAATTCATGACGTCCTATGTTCTGCATCAAGCCGGGTGGTCCGTTCCGCCAGCTGATAAGCGCTAGCCTCACGTCCAGCGCTGCGGACCGTCTTGCCACTCGCCACGTATTAAATGCGACCTAGACCCTTATCTTCTTATTGCGGGTTAGATAGCTCCATATTTGCAGCTGTCTTTCCAAAACCAGCCAATCAATCATCAAATCATCAACCCGTTTAGTTATATCTCGCTCGGATCGATCGGTGACGGACGTGACGATCGTGGCTGCATCAGCCTTATAGGGCTTGTTACTACGTAGATCTTATTTTCTCTACTAATCTCTCCAGCTCCGGCCAGAGGGTATGATCCCAGAAGTCGCCTAGAGCTAGAACGATGTCTTGCTCAGTTTGCTTGGCGACGTTTCTATTGTTCAAGTTCATCAACCACTCAAGCGCATAGTGTACATAAGAGGGAGGCTGGTCGTCGTATCGTTGGTCTGGATCCCATTCAGTCAAGGGCACGAAGGGGAGTGTCTTTCGAACAGGTCGTAGTTGGCTATCGGTAAGTTGATCTTCGAGGTCATCATCACCAAAACAGTCTTGGAGGGAGCCTTCATCTGCATTCATGGTCTGGTCAGTGAGCACTTGTCAGGAAGGTTTGGGGCTAGGCGAACTCGATGGGTTGGTAAGGTAGTGAGTGGGCCAGAAGGGCAGGTGTCATCTTCTCTTGTCCCTCATTATATAACCACGATCGGATGCAAGCAAGGCCATGAGCCACTGCCACCAAAACCTTATTTTTCTTTAAGCATCAGCTAGCAGCTTCGCCTGCAAGCGACTACTGTATAATAGCTGCATTAATGCAACTTCAATTCAGTGTCTCATAGCTCGCGATAAATCCATTCTTGTTAATAGTACAAGTCGGATCAATAGATTGTTTTGTAGGTCCTGCTATGATGAGAAAGAAATACTGGTATTATCGTAAAAATCCGGGGTATGGCATTTTCCACATATGGATGTAGGAGAGAACGATTTGTGGCGATGGTTGAAGGTGGCCTCGACGCATATGTAAGCGATCAGTGGAAGTTACAAGTCATCTTGTACTCTACGTTGCGCTTCGTACGGACTTGAACCCATATCAACATTAACTGCTCTAACCCAAGGGAAGACTCCTTAAAGATACTCAGATCTACCTGCGGTGCGAAAGGTCAGCGGTTGGTAAGGCCAGAATAAGCCGTTTTTCCTTGGCTAACGTAACGACCCCCCCCCCCCCCCCTTCTTCCGCCACTTGTGATAGCTTCATATTCTCCACATATATGATGCAACTTGATTATTTCTCAACGAAACATAGGTCAATTAATTTGGTTGAAACCGGAAACTACTCATGGGGGCATTCTGACCACTTGCTGCAGCATTTATTGAGTTTTCTTGTAGTTTGGGTGCCTCACGGTCGCGTATGACTGTTGGGGCTTCCTCTGATTGAAAGTTGGCATAGGCAATTTCTGGGATGCGCGCGAATCATTCATTTGGATCGTAGTCAACGGCCTTTCTTCCTATAGGCTTCCTAGCTTCCTCTTGAAGCTTTAAGTACTCAATTTCATGAGATTGCCTGGCGTCCAGTGTATTTACGCCGCTTAGTTGTTTCCCTGTGTGTGATAATTAGCCGCAGACTGCGTGGAACAGAACCACACTCCTTCTCCACCAAAAATAGCCGTGCGCGCACGTCTTGGTAGTTCTTTGGCGTCCGGTGAAGCTCATCTATTGGACTTTTTCGCTTTTATGGGGTCCTCAGGGGTGTTTTTGGCAAGGGGGGGGGGG